AAAAATTAATTTGATAAAGTGCAAATTAAAATATAGCTGTATTTGCAAATGTATTTGAAAATGTTTTGAACTTTTAAAATATTGCATGGTAAAAACAGAAGCTGCTCTTCATATCAGTGACAAACTTTGGCCTTTTTTGATGGATTGCCTTCACTTTTGTTTCGACTTTTCATTTAAAATAAGTTTCCACTCTATCTAAGATTCTTCTACATATTAAAAAAGTTGTTAAACATCTGAGTGGTGCACTATCGCTACTAGTGGTGAGAAAGTGTATTGCACCTTATTTAAAATCAGTGCAGTCCCAAAGTTAAAAACTGTTCTTTTGATGCCCTCAAGGTGGCGCTGTGGCCCACGGGTTAAGAATCTCTGCTTTAAATCACATACCCACATGCACATACCTCATATAATTATTAATTTCTTAAAACTGTTTTGATGTTTACACAGCACGAGGCTTTAAACACAAAAACATAAACCACTTTACCACTTTATTAAAAAGCGTTTAGAGCACGATATCCACCACTGCTAATATGGGGTTTGAAGAAAAACTAGTTCAGGACAAACTCAGTGTGAGTGAGCTCAGGCAGAACCAAAGGTTGTGTGTCGAGGTTTTGTTAACGCTTTTTGTTTGTTTTCTTTGTTTTCTTTCTGTGTGTATTTGTCCCTGTGCCTGCAGCCGTACCCAACTGACATCACCGGCCAGCTCAACCTATCAGATCCCTCCGTCAGCACCGTGGTCTGAGGGGGCCGGAGGAGGCGAGGGAGCTTCACTGCTGCTGCTGGGCCCAACACACACATCGTGACACACACACACACGTCATGACACACACACATACACACACACAGTGCCCCTCTGGACACAAACACACATGCTAACACGCCAGCACACATTATTCACACAAATGGACAGGAAGTAGATCATGATGGCATCAAATCACACTGTGCCAGAAAACACACACACACACACACACACCCTCATACCATGTTTCTCTATCCTTGTAGGGACTTACCATTGACTTACATTCATTTTCTGGTAATTTTATATTCTAACCCTGACCATTTACCCTAAAATTAACCTCACAGGTACCTACCTGACCCTAAACCTAACCTAAACTCAATTCACACCTTGGTCCTTAAGCCCCCCACCCCACCC